CACAAAGTAAGTCTCTACAAGTTCAAGATGATTGAAATCATATCAAGCATCTTCTCAGATCACAATGGCATGAAACTAGAAATCAAGTGCAACAAGAACATGCAAAGACATTAGAATACATGGAGGCTAAATAGTATGTTATTAAACAATGAGTGGGTTACTGAGGAGATCAAGGAAGAAATTAAAAACTTCCTGGAAACCAATGAAAATGAACACACAACAACACAAAATCTATGGGATGCAGCAAAAGCAATGCTGAGAGGGAAGCTCATAGCACTACAGGCCTACCTCAAGAAACAAGAAAAATTTCTAATAGACTATCTAACCTCACAACTTAAAGAACTAGAAAGCAAACAAAAAGAAAACCCCAGGGGAAATAGAAGGAAGGAAATAGTAAAGATCAGAGCAGAACTAAATGACATAGAGACCAAAAAAACAATTCAAAGGATCAAGGAAACAAAGAGCTGGTTTTTCGAAAAGATAAACAAGATTTATGGACCCTTAGATAGGCTCACCAAGAAACAGAGAGAGAGAACCCAAATACACAAAATCAGAAATGAAAGAGGAGAAGTAACAACCGACACCACAGAAATACAAAAGATTGTTAACAACTGCTATGAACAATTTATCGACAATCTAAGCGAAATGGACAAATTTCTAGAAACACATAGTCTCCCAAAACTGGACCGGGAAGAGATAGAAAACTTGAACAGACCAATAACAACTAAAGACATTGAAGAGGTAATCAAGACTCTCCCGGCAAACAAAAGCCCAGGCCCAGGTGGCTTCACGGGGGAGTTTTACCAAACATTCAAAAAAGAACTAACACCCATTCTCCTCAAACTATTTTAAAAAATTCAAGAAGAAAGAAGACTTCCAAACTCGTTCTATGAAGCCAGCATAATTCTAATTCCAAAACCAGAAAAAGACACTACAAAGAAAGAAAACTACAGGCCAATATCCCTGATGAACATAGATGCCAAAATCCTGAACAAAATACTAGCAAATCAGATCCAGCAATACATCAAAAAAATTATTCACCATGACCAAGTGGGATTCATGCCAGGGATGCAAGGCTGATACAATATTCGCAAATCAATAAATGTGATACACCACATAAATAAAATGAAGAATAAAAACCACATGATCATATCAATAGATGCTGAAAAACCATTTCACAAAATCCAGCGTCCATTTCTGATAAAAACACTCAGCAATGTGGGAATAGAGGGATCATATCTCGACATAATAAAGGCCATATATGAAAGACCTACAGCCAACATCATACTCAATGGGCAGAAACTAAAAGCATTTCCCTTAAAAACAGGAACAAGACAGGGATGCCCACTTTCGCCACTCTTTTTAAACATTGTACTGGAAGTCTTAGCCACAGCAATCAGACATGAAGAAAAAATAAAAGGGATCCAAATTGGAAAGGAGGAAGTGAAACTGTCATTATTTGCAGATGACATGATATTATACATAGAAAACCCTAAAGACTCCATCAAAAACCTACTAGACTTAATAAATGAATTTGGCAAAGTAGCAGGATACAAAATTAACATCAAGAAATCGACGGCATTCTTATACACCAATGATGAACTCACAGAAAGAGAAACTGAAAAAACAATCCCATTTACCATCGTGGGGAAAAAAATTAAGATACCTAGGAATAAACTTAACCAAAGAAGTAAAGGACCTATTTGCAGAAAACTACAGGTCATTGAAAAAAGAAATAGAGGAAGATATAAAAAAGTGGAAGCACATACCTTGTTCATGGATTGGAAGAATTAACATCATTAAAATGTCCATATTACCTAAAGCAATCTATAGACTCAATGCAATCCCCATCAAAATACCAACGACATACTTCACAAAACTAGAACAAATACTTCAAAAGTTCATATGGAACCAAAAAAGACCCTGAAATCTTGAAAAAGAAGGACAAAGTAGGTGGGATCACAATACCAGATATCAGGTTATATTACAAAGTAATCAAAGCAGCCTGGTACTGGCACAAGAACAGGCATGTAGACCAGTGGAGTAGAACAGAGAAGCCAGAAATGGACCCAAGACATTATGCTCAATTAATATTTGACAAAGGAGGTAAGAGCATATAGTGGAGTAAAGACAGCCTCTTTAATAAATGGTGTTGGGAAAATTGGACAGCTACATGCAAAAAAATGAAACTAGACCATCGACTTACACCATACACAAAAATAAACTCAAAATGAATAGAAGACTTAAATGTGACCCGTGAATCCATAAATATCCTAGAAGAAAATGTAGGCAACAAAATTCAGACATTATATGCAGCAGAATTTTCACTGATACATCATCTAAGGCAACAGAAACAAAGGATAAAATGAACACATGGGACTACATCAAACTTAAAAGCTTCTGCACAGCAAAAGAAACAACCATCAAAATGGAAAGCAACCCACTGTATGGGAGAGCATCATTACCAATGATACATCAGATAAGGGGCTAATTTCCAAAATATATAGAGTACACATACAACCCAACAAAAGGAAGACAAAGAACCCAATTAAAAAATGGGCAGAGGAGCTGAATAGACACCTCTCTAAACAGGACATACAAATGGCCAAGAGATATATGAAGAAATGCTCAACATCACTAATCATCAGAGAGATGCAAATTAAAACAACAATGAGGTATCACCTCACACCTGTCAGAATGGCTGCCATCAACAAATCATCAAACAACAAGTGTTGGCGAGGGTGTGGAGAAAAGGGGACTCTAGTACACTGCTGGTGGGAATGCAGACTGGTGCAGCCACTATGGAAAACACTATGGTGTTACCTCAAAAAATTAAAAATTGAATTGTCATTTGACCCAGTGATCCCACTTCTAGGAATATACCCTAAGAAGCCTGAAACACCAATCAAAAAGAATATATGTACCCCTATCTTCATAGCAGCACTATTTATAATAGCTAAGATCTGGAAATAGCCCAAATGTCCATCAGTAGATGAATAGATAAAAAATGTGTGGTACATATATACAATGGAGTACTGTGCAGCGGTAAGAAAGAAAGCTCTCTTATCCTTTGAGAGGACATGGAAGGACCTGGAGAGTATTATCCTGAGTGAAACAAGCCAAGCAGAAAAAGACAAATACCACATGATCTCACTTATTTGTGGAATATAATGAACATAACTCTCTGAGGAATAGGGTAGACCCAGAGTCGTGGAAGTAGGGTACAGACTGACAACCCTCAGAAGAGGGGGTGGTGGGGGGAGGGAAGAGATAAACCACAGAACTTATATGCATGTACGCATAACCAATGGACATGGACAACAAAGCCGGGGATGGGGTGGGGGGGGGATGAGGAGGAGTGTGTCAATGGGGTTAAAAAGGAGAAACAACAAAAATAAAATAAAAAACAAAACCAAACAAAAAAAACTACAATGAGATACCACCCCATACTGGTTAGAATGGCTGTTATTGACAAGACAGGTAATAAGTGTTGGAGAGGTTGTGGAGAAAAGGGAAACCTCATTCACTGCTGGTGGGAATGTAGACTGGTACAGCCACTGTGGAAAACAATCTGGCGATTCCTCAAGAAATTAAGAATAGCGTTACCAGCCCTGGCCAGTGTGGTTCAGTTGGTTAGAGAGTTGTCCTGTGCACTGAAGGGTGTCAGGTTCAACTCCTGGTAAAGGTACATACTTAGGTTGTGGGTTTGATCCCCCAGTCACGGAGCGTATGGGAGGCAACCAATAGATATTTCTCTCTCAGATGGTATTTCTCTCTCTCCCTCCTTACTCCTTCCTCTCTCTCCAGAATCAGTGAAAAGCATATTCTCAGAATCAAATAATAATAAAAAATAAAACAGCCCTAGTTGCTTTTGCTCAGGGGTTAGTGCGTAGGCCGGCAGACCAGAGTCGCGGGTTCGATTCGGGTCAAGGGCATATACCTCACTTGCAGTTCGTCCCCAGCCCTGGTTGGGGTTGTGCAAAAGGCAACCGATTGATGTGTTCCTCTCATGATGATGTTCCTCTCTCTCTTCCCCCTTCCCACTCTATCTGAAGATACATGGAAAAATATCCTTGGGTGAAGATTAAAAAAATAAAAAATAAAACAAAAGTTTCGGGAGGAAAAGAAAGAATAGAGTTACCTATTACCCAGCAATCTCTTTCCTAGGTACATACCCCCAAAACTAAAATACATGTATTTCCAAAGATACATGTACCCCCATGTTCACTGCAGCATCATGCATGGTGGCCATACGAAGACCACCCAAGTGCCCTGTGATAGAGGACTGGAGAAAGATGTGGTACATGCACAAGATGGACTACTACTCAGCCGTTAGAACAGATGAAATCGTGCCATTTGCAACAGCTTGGATGGACCTTGAAAACATTATGCTAAGTGAATTAAGTCGTCAGAAAAGCTAAGAACCCTATGATTACACGCACATGTGGGATAGAAACCTGAAACTCGTGGGCACGAACCGCAGTGCGGTGGGTACAGCAGGAAGGAAGAGGGTTGGTGGCGAAGGGGGCCTAAGTTAAGGTGAGAGAAGAAATTTGACTCCAAAACGTGCGCTGAGCCAGCACTCCAAGTGGGCTGGGAGCTCCGCTCAGAGGCCCGCCCCTTCCCTCCCTCCCCTCCCTTTCTGTCCCTCCCTCCCCTCCCCTCCTGCCCCTCCCCTCCTGCCTCTCCCCTCCTGCCTCTCCCCTCCTGTCCCTCCCCTCTTGTCCCTCCCCTCTTGTCCCTCCCCTTCCCTCCTGTCCCTCCACTGCGCAGCCCAGCGCAGCCCAGACAGCGGCACCAGTCCTTGCCGCTCCTCTGCGGCCCCTTCCGGGCTTTAGGACCTACCGCACGTTCACGCCTCCCACGCGTACCCGATCCAAGCCCCGCCCCCTCCCACAAGGCCCCGCCCCGGCTTTCGGGCTCGCTCCCGGCCGGGCCGCCCTGCCCCGCCTCAGCCGCCGGGGTGGCCTTGGAGTCGTGCCGCGACCCCTCCGGCGAACATGGCGCTCCGAGCGGCGCGATGCGTGCGGGCCGCGGCCTGCAGCCTGCGCGCCCCGTCGGCGCCCCCCGCGCCCTGCTCGCCGCGTCCCTGGGGCCTGAGGGCGGGCGCCGTGCGGACGCTGCGCACCGGCTCCAGTCTGCTCTCGGGTAAGCGCGGGTGGGCACGTGGCACACGCCGGGCTGCCCCGGGCGGGGTGAGCTGGGACGCCCCCCCTCGCCTTCATCCGTATCTCAAGCCCCCGCTGCGGATCGCCGGGGTCACGCCCGGCGACCCCGTGCACACTTCTTTCATTGCCGGGACCTCTGATGTGGGGCCCTGCCCCCTCCCTAAGTGGCGTGGGCGCCCGCAGCCTTTGTCCTGCGGCTTAGGAGCCGGGGGAGGAGGCCTGAGCACGCGCGGTGGCCGCGTCCGGGCCGGGGCGTCCGCCGCCCGCTCCCGGGGAGGGCGAGTGTCGCGAAGCTTCTCGGTAAGCATCGAACTGCACAAACGGACCGATCTCCATGTGTCTTATGACTAGTGTCTTTGGAAGAAGAAAGGGACAAGCTTGCAGAAATGGCTCAAAGCGCCTAGGATCTTCTGTCACTTGTTCTCCTGTCGGGCCCAGGGTTAAAGAGTTTACTAAGCCTGGAGCCCAAGGAGCGTGGCCTAGGAAAACGACAGGCGGACCTGGAGACAGGCGGACCTGGCGCGTCTAGCTCAGTAGCACTCAGCAGCTGCCTCTTCCTCTGAACTTTCGGCCACTCCGCTGTGAAATTGGGTGTGCGAGCAGCCTTACTCCGCAGGTATCTTCACAGTTAGGTCGGAGGGCCAGGCCAGAGTCAGGACAAGGGTCTTAGGGAAGTCATCTGTATAGCTCTCCAGCCCTCGAAGAGGCATATTAGAGCTAAACGGCCAGTCCTAGCGTTGTAAGAGAACGACAGGGAGAATTGAGGGTGGTAGCCAGATAACTATATGCTAGATATTTTGTTCAGAATCCCTTGTCAACTTTAAAAAGTTACTCCACTCCAGCTCTGTGCATCGCTTAGAACTGGGAATACGGGTGAGATAAACTCTGTCCTTGCCTGCTTTGTGCTTACAGCCTGCTTCCTAGGGGAAACTGGCAAATGGGCCGGTGTACCTGTAGCGCGTTAAGTTCTGAGTGTGTTTGGGGTCCGGGAGGAAGGAGAATGGTGCTGAGTGCAATGGGAGCATGTTGGATGGCCTAGGAACCCAGTCTTGAAGGGCTAGACAAGGCTTCTGGCAGGAAAGAGCTTCTAAATTGAACTATGAAATAGTCAAGAAAAGGCGAAAGGCCGGGACAGTGTTGCAGTTCAGAACACCAAGTACAAACCTTAAACTTTTTAGTAGAAAGATCAGATTGAGCCCGGCCGGTGTTGTTCAGTGGTTGAGCGTTGTCCTAGTCACCAAGAGGTCACCGGTTCAGTTCCCAGTCAGGGCACATGCCCAGGTTGTGGGCCAAATCCCCAGTGTGGGGCATGCAGGAGGCGGCTATTCGATGTGCTCTCTCATTGATGTTTCTCTCCCTCTCCCCTCCTCTCTAAAAAAAAAAAAAATCAAGGAAAAAAAGATCAGATTGATCTGAAGTGTTATTTGAAATGGAACAAAATAAAGCAAATTTCTTTGTGACAGGTTCTGCAGCTTCTTCCACTGAAGAGTATAAAATTAAAGTTTTTTAATGCTAAGGGGAAAAGAAAGTAATAAGCTATAGTCTATTTACATTCTGTTGTGAATCAGAGCTGTGTAATCAAAGCAGTTGAATGCTGTTTTAAGTACAACTATCTTTGGGTAAGGAGGAAGAGTGAACCAGCAAGGCTTACTTTAAAATAGTATTGGAGCCCTGGCCAGTTTGGCTCAGCAGTTAGAGCATCGGCCTGTGGACCGGAGAGTCCCAGGTTCAGTTCCCGCTAAGGGCATGTACCTCGGTTGCAGTTTGTCTCTGGCCCTAGTTGGGGTCGTGTGGGTGGCAACCACTCAGTGTGTGTCTCTCACATTGATGTTTCTCTCTCCCCCCTCTCTCTCCTTCCTGCTCTATCTGAAGATAAATGCAAAAAAGTCCTTGAGTGAGGATAAAAAATAAATAAAACAGTATTGGAATTAATGAACCATTTTCTTTTCCTTTTTTTTTGTTAATCCTCACCTGAGGATATTTTCCCATTGATTTTTAGACAGTGTGAAAGGAGGGAGGTAGGGAGAGAGAGAGAAACATTGATGTGAGAGAGCCACATCGATTGGTTGCCTCCCATATGACCCCAATAGGGGCAGGGGATTGAACCTCCAACCCAGGTACATACCCTTGATCGGGAATCGAACCTGAGACCCTTTGGTCTGTGGGCTCTAACCACTGAGCCAAGCCGGCCAGGGCTAATGAACCATTTTCCAATTAACTTCTGATGCATAATTTTTGGAAAAATACTTCCCTTTGGAAAGTAATAGATATAAGATAGGATATGCTTTTCTTTTTTTCTTTTTACTGATTTTAGAGAGAGAGGAAGGGAGAGGGAGAGAGAGATAGAAACATCAGTTGGTTGCCTCCTGCATGCCTCCTACAGGGGATCAGGCCCACAACCTGGGCATGTGCCTTGACTGGAAATTGAACCAGCAACCTCTTGGTGCATAGATCGACGCTCAACCACTGAGCCACACTGGCTGGGCAGCATATGCTTTTTTTAAAAAATTACTTATTCCATAAAGCAAGTACTATTAATATTAAATCCTAAATAATTATTTTCACATCTCTTGAACTTTGATCAGTCTTTCTTCCAGGAATCCCTGAATAGTTCGACCATGTCTTTGAAGAAGCTCATAAAGCCAAGGGTTAACCTGTCCAATGAATGTTCAGCAGAGCTTGACTTTCCACCAGTGAATGGCTTAGCTCTGAGGTGACTGTTGAGTTCTGATCTTGTAGTTTGCTTCTTTAAATGATGGTAGCCTGAATCCCATTAAAATGGAATTTTAAGAACTTCTTTAAATTGTTTCAGGTCATTTTCATTCCTGTAAGATTCCAAGTTGCAGTGAAGCAACTCTAAAGAGGCACATTACTTATTTTTTTATCCTCACCCAAGGACATTTTTGCATTTATCTTCAGATAGAGCAGGAGGGAGAGAGAGAGAGAAACATCATTGTGAGAGAGACACATCGAGTGGTTGCCACCCACAAGACCCTAACCAGGGCCAGGGACAAACTGCAAACCAAGGTACATGCCCTTAGCAGAAATCGAACCAGGGACTCTGGTTCGCGGGCCAACGCTCTAACCGCTGAGCCAAACTGGCTAGGGTGAGGCACATTATTTTTTAGGTGAAATAATTTATGAACAGTCTGTGCTCATCCCAAACTTCATCACTTCAAGTCTGTCTTCAGAGGGACAGACTTTTTCTGTAAGACAGACCAGTTGGTAGAGAAGCATACATTTAAAATGTCCTCCAAAACTTTTTGTGTGTGATTTAGACTAAGTAAGGTTAGAGCAGATAATCATATCTCCAAAAGATGCATATGGTGTTCACATCAAGCCATCCTTGTCTAAGAGATACCATTGTTAAGCTGTGCCATCTTTTCACATGATTTGTTTTTTCCTGGGCGTGTACTATTGAAAGGCAACGTCAGTAAGTCAAACACAAATACTGGGAAAGTTTTGTCTTTTGACAGCTTGATAATAAAAAGTGCATTATAAGAAGTGATGCTACTGCTTTTCTGAAATATTGGTCTTCTATTTTAGTGCGTAAATTCACAGAAAAACATGAATGGATAACAACAGAAAATGGTATTGGAACAGTGGGAATCAGCAATTTTGCACAGGTATTGGATTGTCTTGAAATAGTTAAAACAGTGTGCTCTCACCTAAATTGGACTGTTTCTACCTTTTAAATTTTGTTTATTTTGCCCTTAGTATTTTGGGCCCTTTACAGGCCCTTAGAAAAACATCAGTCACAGTGAAACAAGTGAAAAACATAACCTGGTTAGGGCAGTATGGGGAAATGGCCTAAGCAAAACTACAGAGGTGAAAAAGCACAAAGTGTGTTTGTTCTCAGAGGAGATAGTGATCTTTTGGGGGCATATGGTTTGTAATGGGTCACTACTGCTTGTGGGAAATCCAGCTAGTGGCCTGTTTTCTTTCAGGTCCTGAGCCAAGAGTAGTTTTGTGTTTTAAAGAGTTGTAAGAAGAAAAAACAAAAAATGGCCCATCAAATAAGTATTGCTATTTGAAAATATAGGGGATTCAGTGTTTGGCTTCGTTTTTACTAGGAGGTTTAATTTGATTTCTCAGAGGGATTTTTTGTTTTTGTTTTTAGGAAGCTTTGGGAGATGTTGTTTACTGTAGTCTGCCTGAAATTGGGACAAAACTGAACAAACAAGGTGCGTATTTTTCTTATCTTGGTATGTCATCATTCATGCCATGAATTTTCTTTACCTGACTTTTACCTTGAAGAATACATTTTAAAAAAATCTTCACCTGAGGATGTGTTCATTGCTTTCAAAGAGGGAGGAAGGGAGGGGGAAGAGAGAGAAACACACACCCTGATGGGATTGAACCCACAACCTGGGTATTTTCCCTGGCAAGGAATTGAACTTGAGACCCTTTAGTGCATGGGACAATGCTCCAACCAACTGAGCCACACTGGCAAGGGCACCCAGGATCTATTAGAGTGATTTTTACTCAAGTAACAGAAAACTTAACAATAGACTACACAACAGGGATTTACACCCTTTTAAAAAAATATATGTTTTTATGATTTTTTTTTAGAGAGAGCAAGAAACGGAGAGGGAGACAGGGAGAGAAACATCAGTTGGTTGCCTCCCACACACATCCCTGTTGGGGATCGAGCCCACAACCTGGGTATGTGCCCTGACTAGAATTAAACTAGCGACCCTTTGGTGCACTGGATGATGCTCAGCCAACAGAGCCACACCAGCTAGGGCTAGGGATTTATATCTTACACAGTCCGGACGTAGGTGAATAGAGGATTGGCTGAGTGGCTCAGTGCAGGTCATCAAGGACAAGACTCTTTGGGTACTTTTTCTGCCTCAGTGTGGCACAAATCACAAAATGGCAGCAAAATCTTAGAGCATCACATTCTCAAATGACAATGTCCAAAAGCAGGATGAGAAGGACAGGCTTTCTTTTTTGTTCTCTTATATCTCATTAGCCAGATATGAGTTATATTTGCCACCCTTAGCTGTAAGGGAGGATGGCGAAGAGAATAATGAGCATTTTTAAACATTGTAATGGAAGATAGGGAGAAGTAGAGGTAAATGGCTCTTAGCACCTTTGCTCCCCACTCTCATATTGATGCAGTGTAATATAGCTGAGATCTATTACGTTTAAAAGTAAAATCTGCTTTTCTTTGGAGACAGTAAAGAATATGGGCTTAGCCCTGGCCGGTTTGGCTCAGCGGTTAGAGCGTCGGCCTGCGGTCCTGAGAGACCCGGGTTCGGTTCCCGCTAAGGGCACGTACCTCGGTTGCAGTTTGTCCCCGGCCCTGGTTGGGTCGTGCAGGTGGCAGCCACTCGATGTGTCCCTTTCACATCGATGTTTCTCTCTCTCTCTCTGTTCCTCTCTCTCCCTCCCACTCTACCTGAACAAAAAATGGAAAAATGTCCTCGGGTGAGGATAAAAAAAAAAAAAAAAAAAAGAATATGGGCTTAGAGGGGTCAGAACCTGGTTTTCAAGCCTGGCCCCATAACATATTAGCTGTGTGATTTGGGGGAAAATGCTTAATCTAGGACTCATCTATAAGTTAGAATAATAATAGTACCTACTTCATAGAGTTGTAAGGTTAAATGAAATTCAGCATAATGTCTGGCATAAGATTAGTGCTTGATAAATGTTAGCCAATAGTACCACATATATTTATTCATGGATTCCTTGACATAGAAGACAGCTGTGTAGAATTTAATTATTTTCCAAGTACCTTTGACAGTATTGGCCATGTCTTTTTCTGTTTAAACTTTCCCTATCATTTATCTTGTTTGAACTTTTTCTGCTTCCTGTCTCTCAATTACCTGGTTGGTCCCTCTTTTTGAAGGTCTTCTGATGAACCATTTCTGACGTCATAATAATCTTTATTATATCATAATGATGTCATAATTTTTTCTGTACATCAAAGCACAGTTCTTGTTTGTTTGTTTGTTTTTTATCCTCACCCAAGGACATTTTTCCTTTTTTTTTTTGTTCAGATAGAGTGGGAGGGAGAGAGAGAGAGAAACATTGATGTGAAAGGGACACATCGAGTGGCTGCCACCCACACGACCAACCATGGCCGGGGATAAACTGCATCCGGGATACATGCCCTTAGCGGGAACCAAACCCGGTCTCTGGACTGCAGGATGACGCTCTAACCGCTGAGCCAAACCAGCCAGGACGCACAGCTCTTGTTTTTTCATGTTCTTTTATTTACTGTGTGCCACTCTGCTACTCAAGCAGATCATAAGTTTCTGAACATCTCTTTACAGTGTACAGCATGAACCTTTTTGTGCTTAAAAAATTCTATTAATTTAAATATGTTGGGTAAATGTCTTTTTAAAACTTTCTGCTTAACGTGTTTTTAAATTGATATATATAATGAAAATGCTAGGTCTTAAGTATACAATCCAGTGAGTTTTGACAAACTGTAAATCTTCCCAACTAAAACCCTTCTAAATAGACAACCTTTTCTGATTTCTATAGATTAGTTTTGCCCATTCTTCAACTTTATTTAAAAGGAATCACACAATGTATATTATGTCTGGTTTCTTTTGTCCAGTGTCATGATTTTGAGATTCATGTTGAGTGATTGGTAGTTCATATTTTAATTGCTGAATAGTGTCCTGCTGTATGACTATACACATTTTTATACTTTCTCCTGTTGATGGATTTTTGTGTTATTTGTAGTTTGGAGCTATTATGAATAAAGCAACTATAAATTCTTTTGTATAAGTTTTTTTGTGAAGGTATGTCTTCATTTCTCTTGGGTAGGTATATGTAGGAATAGAATTTCTGGTTAGTAGTGTGGGTATATGTTTAACTTAATAAGAATCTGCCAAGCCCAGCCGGTGTGGTTTGGTGGATTGAGCATCATCCCATGGACTGAGAGGTCCTGGTTCAATTCCTGGTCAGGGCACATGCCCAGGTTGTGGGATTGATCCCCAGTAGGGGGCGTGCAGGAGGCAGCTGATTAGTGTTTCTCTCTTACATTGATATTTCTATTTCTCTAAAAAAAAAAATTAAAAAAAAAAACAACTAACAGCCTGGCCAGTTTGGCTCAGTGGCTGGCCCGCGGACCAATGAGTTGCGGGTTCATTTCCGGTCAAGGGAACATACCTTGGTTGTGGTTTGTCCCTGGCCCTGGTTAGGTCATGTGACACGGAGGCAACCAGTTGATGGGCTCTATCACATCGATGTTTCTCTCTGTCTCTCCCTTCCTCCCACTCTCTCTGATGATAAATAGAAAAATATGCTCGGGTGAGGAATTAAAAACACAAAAACAAAGAGTAACATTTACCATTTACCATTTGCATCAATAGTATGAGCGAGTTCCAGATGCTGTGGATCTCACTGTGGTTTAAGTTTGCATTTCCCTAGTGACATTATTTTTTTATTTTTTATTTTTTTTATCCTCATTTGAGGACATTTTTCCATTTTTTGTACAGACAGAGTGGGAGGGAGAGAGAGGAAGAGAGAGAGGGAAACATCGATGTGAAAGGGACACATCGAGTGGCTGCCACCCGCACGACCAACCAGGGCCGGGGACATACTGCAACTGAGGTACATGCCCTTAGCGGGAATCGAACCCGGGTCTCTCCGGACCGCAGGCGGACACTCTAACCGCTGAGCCAAACCGGCCAGGGCCCTAGTGACATTATTGTTGAGCACCTTTTTTGTGCTTTTCATTTAATATCTGTTTTTGTGAAGTCTCTAGTCAAGCCTTTTACCAAATTTTTTATTTGGGTTGTCTTTTTACCATTGGCTTTAGGCATTCTTTTTTTTTTTTATCCTCACCCGAGGACATTTTTCCATTTTTTGTTCAGATAGAGCAGGAGGGAGAGAGAGGAAGAGAGAGAGAGAGAGAAACATCGATATGAAGGGACACATCAAGTGGCTGCCACCCGCATGACCAACCAGGGCCAGGGACAAACTGCAACTGAGGTACATGCCCTTAGCGGGAACCGAACCCCGGTCTCTCTGTACCGCAAGCCGACGCTCTAACCGCTGAGCCAAACCGGCCAGGGCCTTTAGGCATTCTTTATCTATTCCAGATAAGATATATATTTTGTAAATATTTTGTCATAGCTCGTGGTTATGCCTTTTCATTTTCTTAAGTGTTTTTGTTTTTATTTTTATTTTTATGAAAAGCTTTTAATTTTAACAAGTCCAAGTTATTAATGTTTTATTTATGTATAGAGCATTTTGTATTTGTTTTGGTCTAGGGGTCACCATATAAAGTTACTGAGACAGTAAGGGCACTGTGAACTGAGAAAGTTTGAGCAACTCTGGCCCGTACCAAGTTTGTAAAGAGATTCTCTGTTTTCTTGAAATTTCATATAGTTTTAGCTTTTGTGCTTAGGCTTTATTAAAATCACTGATTATAAGAGTTTTATAGATTCCTTTGGATTGTCTATATGTAAACAATAATACAATCTGTAAATAAAGAGTTTTATTTCTTCCTTTCAATTTTCATACTGTAAAGTAGCCAGGACAGGAGGCGGGGATTGGGGAGTGCGAGATCGGGCGGAGAGTAAGGAGGGGGGTCTATAGGAGGTGCCTTTGGAGGAGGGGAAGTCTGGGCTAGGAGAATCTGGAGAGTGGAGCAGTGTGAGCAAAGGTCAGGGCGGGAGCGGAGGTCCCAAAAAGCCTGAATGTATGGGATCTCAGAGTCCTTTCCGGTCCGCCGGCAAAAATTGTCCAGGTCCTGGAGGACGTTGAAGTCAAAAGTACCCGTAGGCGACCAGTGAGACCGGTTGTCCAGGGTGTATTGAAGCCAAGCGACCTGGGACAAGAAGATGAGTTTTTTCCTGTGGAGGGACTGAGAGTATCCCAATTTGGAGAAATTTATAAGAAGACATCCCAAAGGAGTTTTAGGGTCTATTTTGGATTCGGAGTTCCCCATAATTTAGTAGCCTTCCGGACCCCTAAATGTTGGAGGAGAAAAGGGTATGAGGGCGGCGTTTCTTCCAGATACCCGTCTCCGGACAGTGATAGAGGGGTGAGTGAAAGGCGTCCCTTTCAATCAGGCCCCCTATATAGTCTCCAGGAGTCGTGAGGGGAGGTCTCTCATCTCAGGATGAGAGACCCCTGCGGGAACACGGTCTGGCAGGAAGGGAAAGGGATCGAATTACTTACGGTTGCAAGCCTTATCCTCAGGGAGCTCCGAATTCAAAGTGGTGGAGGGTGGCAGGAGGCAGGGGGAGAGAGAGGGGGGACTCTCGCCCCAGCCTGCAAGGACAGGGCGGGTCGCAAAACCCCTCTCCCGGGTTTCGGCACCAAATGTAAGGTAGCCAGGCGCCGCCGGTGGGAGGTGGAAAGAAACCGAAGAGCCAAACAGCCAAATAAGCAGAAATCAGGCTTTATTGGGTACACTCCGGGCGGCTTCTAGGACTCGACCCCCGGAGTCTGTGAACCCGGCTGGAGTGTACCCAATAAAGCCTGATTTCTGCTTATTTGGCTGTTTGGCTCTTCGGTTTCTTTCCACCTCCCACCGGCGGCGCCTGGCTACCTTACACATACATTTCATTTTTTTTCCTTGCCTTATTGCACTGGCCAGAGTCCTCAGTATAATGTTGAATAGAACTGCTAAGAATAGTCATCATTGCCTTGTTCCTGATCTTAGTAGAAAGCATATAACATTCATCATAGGCATGATATGTAGCTGTGAGGTTTTTCAGATACCCATTATCAGATGAGGATCATTCATTTTCTCCATCTGTTGACATGATTTTAGGGGTTTTCTTCTTTATTCTGTTAATGTGATGAAAAAGATTGACTTGTTTTTGAATGTTTAACCAACTTTGCATTCCTGGTAGTCATGGTGCAAAAATTAACTTTTTAAAAATATTGCTGGATTTGATTTGCTAGTTAATTTTCACATTATGTTCACGAGAGATACTGGTCTTTCCTTATGATGTCTTTGTTGAATTTTGGAATGAGCTATGTTGGCCTCAGAAATTTGGAAATGTTTCTACCTCTTTTTTTCTGAATGAATGGCAAAATTAATATTATTTCTTCATTAAGTGTTTGATAGAATTAACCAGTGAGATCTGAGCCAGACTTTTCTTTTTTAATTCTCACCCGAAGATATTTTCCATCGATTTTGAGACAGAGTGGGAGGGAGGGAAGGGTGGGGGGGGAGAGAGAGACATTGATGCGAGAGAGACACATCGATCGGTTGCCTCCCGCAGGACCCCAATCAGGACCCCAGGGATGGAACTGCAACCGAGGCATGTGCCCCTGACTGGAATTGAACCTGAAACTCTCTGGTCTGTGGACCAACTCTCTACCGGCTGAGCCAGATTTCCTTATGGGAAGACTTTTGATAAAGATTTAATTTCTTTAATAGAGATAAGGCTATTCGTATCTTCTATGTTATCTTACATTGGTTTTGTTAAGGGTTTTTTTGGTTTTTTTTAATCTTCACCTGAGGATATTCTTCTGTTTGTCTTCAGCTAGAGTGGGAGGGTGGGCCAGGGAGAGGGAGGGAGGAAGAAACAGATGTGAGAGAGACACATTGACTGGTTGCCTCCCACATGACCCGGACCAGGACGGGAGATGAACTAAAACTGAGGTATGTGCCCTTGATCAGAATCGAACCTGAGACTCATTGGTCTGTGGGCCAATGCTCTAACCACTGAGCAACTGGCCAGGGCAATTTTTTTCTTTTCTTTTAAGTACATTTATTTTATTGAAATTTTTAGAGGGGGGAGAGGGAGAGAAACATTGATGAGAGAAAGAGAAACATCAATTGGCTGCCTCCTGCATGCCCCCTCCTGGGGATCGAGACCGCCCCCCTGGGCATGTGCCCTGACAGGGAATTATACCAGTGACCTCTTGGTGCATAGGTTGATGCTCAGTCACTGAGCCACACTGGCCAGGGCACAGTTTTGCTTTTTGAGTAAGTTTTTCCTTTTCATGTTGTCAGATTCAGCATAAAGATCCTCATTTTTATTATCCTTTTATATCCGTAGGCTTTGTACTGAGGATCCCTTTTTCATTCCTTCATATCTGTGGTAATTTGTGTTTTCTCTCTTTTTTTTAGATGTGCTAGCTATTTATCGATTTCATTAATCTTTTGAAACATCCACATTTTTACTCTGCTAATTTTCTGTTTTCCATTTCATTAGTTTTGTTCATATCTTTATTTTCTTCTTCAATTTAACTTAGGTTTAATTTGCTCTTATTTCTCTATCTTAGGTGGACCCTTGAGGTTTTGTTGGTATAAGTACTTTTTTACTTGACATTTTTACTCATACTGTAAAACACTGGATCCCTTGTGGTGGGTGGCATCTAAAATCTAAATTTATCCATTTACTTGGAGTCAGCCATGTGCACACATGGTTCAAGGATCATTCAGAGACCTGGGCAGAATTTATACACAGAACTTGGGGCTCTTCCTTTCAGTCCCTCTCCTTGTTGGGATTTCTGCTTCACATTCAAGTAGCTATAGTGGCCAAACTCTTGCTTCTGGTCCTTTAAGCCACCAAGACGAAGATTTTCTTTCAGAATTTTGGCTGCCCCATACAACAGAGATTGGTGCCTCTTCTCAGGCAAAAAGCCATTTAAACAGTCAGTAGTGTTGTCATTCCTTTTGTCATGTGTTGCCTCCTCTCCATAAACGGTTTTGTTCATTTTTTAGTGTCTTTGGGACCCAGGTCATTGATTTTAAGATGTTCTTTTTTTTTGTGGTATGTGCCCCTAGTGGGAACTGAACCTGGGACTCTCTGGTCCGCAGACTGACGCTCAACCGCTGAGCCAAACTGGCCAGGGCAAGATGTTCTTTTTAAACAAAAGGTAGATATTAATCTCCTAAGCACTATTTTAGCTATATCCCAAATATTTTGGTATTTTGTATTCTCATTATCATTCACTTCAGATCATTTGATATTGACCTACAGGTGACTAAGGCTCTGTTAATTTTTTCAGCCTTTTTCTTTTAAACTCTGTTCTTTAGATTGGTTAATTTCAGATGATCTTTCTTCACATTCACAGACCCTTTCTTCTATATCCAGTGTGCTGTTACTGCTATTCAGTAAATGTTTTATTTTAGATATTTCACTTTCCAGTTCTAAGATATCCATTTTTAAATTTCTATTTCTCTGCAAGTATTCTCCCATATGTTCACTTACTATGATGATCTTTTTAAAAAGGTCTTTCAATATATTTACAATAGCTACTTTAAGGTTCTCTGGTAATTCCATCAGGTATATCTGTGGGTCATTTGGGGATCTTTCTGTTGACTACTTTTTCTCTTCACCATGGCTCCTTTCTAGGATTTTAACCCTCATTTTCCAGCCATGTTTGCAGCCCCATACACCATCCTCTGACCCCTCAAACAAATAAGACTGATTTTCTACTTGTGTTCTATTTACACTGTGGTCTTTGGACTGGGTGGTGTTATCAGGGTATGCATTGTATAAATGAAGATCTCGTTTGGTTTGGGTTCCTTTTTTTCAATCATTAACTCCCATTTTGGTTATCCTACAGAGCTTTCATATAATTGCTTGTGTGTGTGTGTTTTGTTTGGGGGTTATAATTGTTACCTGTAGGAAGGCTGGTCTGAGGTACTTTACTGTTACTGGAATCTTCTAAATTTTTTATTTTTTTTGAGCCACAGTAAATTGAAACAAGGTTGAGTTTCAACTGAACTCAAGTACATGTGGTGTTCAGATACATCACCATTTGTTTACTCTGTCTGGAATAGATAGGTCTGCTTTATTGAGGGTATTTGTACCCTTCTCATAGGTGATACAAGCATGAGAAAGCCTATGATTTTATTTTAAATTAAAGATGTTTAGAATTTTATTATTATTGTATTCGAGATGGCCACTTTTCCATATTTTGCATTTTATTTTCTCAATTTAGATGAGTTTGGTGCTTTGGAAAGTGTGAAAGCTGCTAGTGAACTGTATTCTCCTCTGTCAGGAGAAGTAACTGAAATTAATGAAGCTCTTGCCGAAAATCCAGGACTTGTCAACAAATCTTGTTATGAAGATGGTAAGTTGTTAAGAAATTTTTAAAGGATTATACATGCAAGTAACATTTAATCTAGAGTTTAAAGATTTAGCTGATTGTCACTTTATCTTTTTGCACATTTGGTGCTGAATATTTAAGGGTATGTTTAAGATCTTTGTTGATAAAAGCATTGCCTTATTTTACAGGGTTCTTAGTATCAAACACTTGCAAAGTATTTACCTCTTCAAACATAAAGCATCTAGTCCTGGCCGGTGTGCGTCAGTGGTCAGGGCGTTGGCCCACACACCAGAGGATTGTGGGTTCAATTCCTGGTCGAGGGCATGTTACTACCTGGGTTGCAGGTTTGATCCCCAGCCCTGGTTGGGGCGTGTGCTGGAGGCAGCCAATCGATGTGACCCCCTCACATCGATGTCTCTCTCTTCCTCTCCCTTCCACTCTCTGAAAATCAATGGAAAACATATACATGGAGTAAATGGCAAAATTAGGATTAGGTTGTAGTTCTCTATTGCCTGCCACCAAGCCCTTCTAACTCTCTACTTTCTAATGTCCTTCATATCAGTAGTTAACAGTGTTGGGGTTCCTCTTGTTAATGAAAGATATACTTGGTCTCTTGTATACTTGGATCCCTATGTAGTCTTCGTTGTCATTTGTTGATGCTTATCACAATCTAAGAGTTCTTACCCCATTACTGTGGAATCTATTCTAGTTGTAATCTTTTCGATTGTGATATACAAGGATATTAATGTAATTCTTAAGGCTAAAACTTAAAACTCCTTGAACAAATAATGAGTCATTTAGGTAAAGAATACTAATTTTTAGGCACTAAAGAATTTATTTTAGAACAAGTGTTGGTGAGGATGTGGAGAAAAGGGAATCCTGGTATACTGTGGTAATGCAGATTGGTGCAGCAATCATGGAAACCAGTATGGAGGTGCCTCAAAAAATTAAAAAATTGCTTATGACCCAGCAATTCCAATTCTGGGTTTATATCTGAAAAAACCCGAAACACTAATTCAAAAGAATATATACACCCCTGTGTTCATTTCGCATTATTTATAGTAGTTAAGATATGGAAGCAACCCTTCCAACCCAAGTGTCCATCAGTAGTTGAGTGGATAAAAAAAAGCTGTGGTACACATATACAATAGAATATTACTCAGCCATAAAAAAGAATGATGAAATCTTATCGTTTGTGACAGCATGGATAGACCTAGAGGGTATGTATTAAGTGAAATAAATGAGACAGAGAAAGACAATGCCCTGGCCAGTTTGGCTCAGCGGTAGAGCGTCGGCCTGCGGTCCGGAGAGACCCGGGTTTGGTTCCCGCTAAGGGCACGTACTTCGGTTGCAGTTTGTCCCCGGCCCTGGTTGGTCGTGCGGGTGGCAGCCACTCGATGTGTCCCTTCACGTCGATGTTTCTCTCTCTCTCTCCCTCCCACTCTATCAAAAAAAAAAAAAAAAGACAAATACCATATGATTTTACTTGTAGAATCTAAAAAACAAAATAAACGAACAAACAGAACAAATCAACTCACAGATACAGAGAACAGACTTATGGTTGTCAGAAGGGAAGGGTTTGGGGGACTGGGCGAGAAAGTCAAGGGAATAAGTACTGTTGGTAGTTAACGAAACAGTCAACATAGGGAATATAGTCAATAATCATTAATATTGTAATAACAATGTATGGTGTCAGGTAGGTACTTGAAATATCAGGGAATCACTGTATAAAGTATATGATTGTCTAACCATTATGCTGTGTACCTGAAACATACAAAATAATATTGAATATAAACTGTAATTGAAAATAACATTTAAAATAAAAGTATTTATTTTACATTTTGAATGAATTTTACTTTTACTCTTTCAAAAGGTAATTTGGAATATAATATACTTTTTTCTGGTTGCAGGTTGGCTGATCAAGATGACATTGAGTAACCCTTCAGAACTAGATGAACTAATGAGTGAAGAGGCATATGAGAGATACATAAAATCTATTGAAGAGTGACACTGGAACCCGCCCCCCTAAATAAAGTAGTATGAAACAACTTAATCTAGCATAGTTGTCTTAAATTAGTGGTGGATAGCAATGCTATTGGATGAAAATAACCCTTAACTTTCTAATGATGGCAGATAAACACAATATGCGTCTTTTTCACAACACCCTATGATGTTTTTAAGCTAGGCTACAGTTATAATATTCAGAATTCCTGAAATTATCTGTGGTGAAACTAGTTAAGAAAATTATGTATTTCAAGGATAATATTATTTTAAGCCCTATATAATGTTGTAACTTGCTTACATCAGTCTCTGGATTTGGGTCAAAATACTTAATGATCTTGCCATTGGAAATAACGGGCATTAGAGAAAAGTTTTTGTTAGTTGTTACGGTGTCAGATGACGAACAATACTGTCTTAATTGAGCAATATACTGAGTTTGCTGGTGCTATTTTTATACACTGAAGCAGCAGCCTTGCAGGAAAACAAGAAAGTTTAATAATAAAACATTCAACTTCTTCATTAATCATGTTTTTGTTTTTGGTGTTAATATTTCATTTAGTGACCCTGCTTATTTGTGAAGATGCTAATTTTAACTTATGGAAAGTTTTTGTTTGTTTGGTTATTTAAGGAAGTTGAAGCCATACAATGAAAGGTTCCAAGAAAATGTTTCCTTTTAGTCATAAATGTGATTTTTCTTAAACAAAAAGTCTAATTGCTTGATAATAATATTAAGTACTTTTTTGGTCATCTTTTTTTGTTTGTTTTTTGTTAATCCTCCCCTGAGGATATATTTTTCCATTGATTTTTAGATAGAGTGGAAGGGAGGGAGGGAAGGAGGGGGAAAGAAACATCCACGAGAGAAACATTGATTGGTTGCCTCCTGCACGACCCTGACTGGGGCCAGGGATTGAACCTGTAACCCAGGTACATGCCCTTGATGGGGAAAGGAACCTGAGACCCTTTGGTTCACAGGCTGATGCTCTAACCGCTGAGCCAAACCGGCCAGGACTTTGGTCATTTTTAATATTGTGAAAAAGAAACCACAGCCCTGACCGGTTGCTCAGTGGTTCAATTCTGGTCAAGGGCACGTACCTCAGTTGCGATTCATCCCTGGCCCTGGTTGGGGTTGTGCAGGAGGCAGCCACTCGATGTGTCCCTTTCACGTCAATGTTTCCCTCCCTCCCTCCCAAAAGCGGAACAAATGCGGAAAACATTTCTGAATGTTTTCTGAACAAAAGCAGAAAAAATGTCTTCTGGTGAGGATAAGAAAAGAAAAAGAAACCACTGACGTTTTTTTTTTATCTTGCTCAGTTAGAAAAGAGAAGAGGAAAAACAAGGAAAGGTGAAAGTTTAATCAGTACAGCACATGTATGGCATCATTAAGAAAGTTAAACCAGCCTGGCCAGGGTGGCTTAGTTGGTTGAGCCTTGTCCCATGCACTGAGAGCTCACCGGTTTGATTCTTGGTCAGGGCACATGTCCAGGTTTTGGGCTTGATCCCCAGTGGGGGGCATGCAGGAGGCAGCCAATCATATGTTTCACTGTTACATAAATGTTTCTATCTCTCCCTCTCCTTGCCTCTCTGAAATCAATACAAAAAAAATATTTTTTTTTTAAAGGAAAGTTCAACCACATTCAGATTTCCACTTAATGGGAATAGAAGTGAAACTTGATGAGCTTGGACACTGACTTAGACAGTCGATATGCTTTGTAGTTTAAGCATATTTAGAGTGCCAAATGGTATTTTTTTTTTTTTGATACATGCCCCTAGCGGGAACTGAACCTGGGACTCTGGTCCACAGGCCGACGCTCCAACCACTGAGCCAAACTGGCCAGGGCAATGGTATTTTAATTCAGCCAACTGTATGTGGTATGCTAATATTTTGAGGGGAGATATATGCATATTTAAATATGAATATATGTACTCAGACAGCAAGAGCACACAAATTCCTCCATCATTTTCCTTGTTACTAGAGGAAAAGGAAAGTATTCAGACTACCATCTTCTGATGGTGAATAAACAGCACATATGAGAACCAAGAGGAAGTAGGTAGGTAAATAGCAAATCTTTCCTGCTCAGCAGAAAGAAACCATTCTTCCAAGACTGCCAGTGGCCATATCACTGCTGAGCTGTATCTTTGCACCTTATCAAGAAGGTATCCAAGATATCCTGGGTGGTTGTCTCCCTGTTTGTGTAATTATTATTCAAATTTGACTATCTGCTTTGGAAATAAAAAGGGATGCGTAATAACTACATATATTTATTTATTTTTTATCCTCACCTGATGACATTTTTTTCCATTTTTTGTTCAGATAGAGTGGGAGGAAGGGAGAAGGGAGGGAGGGAGGGGGACAGAGAGACAGAGAGACAGAGAGAGACAAACACTGAGTGGCTGCCTTCTGTACGACCCCAAACAGGGCTGGAGATGAACAGCAACCGCGGTCCGTGCCCTTGACTGGAATCGAACCCATGGGCTGACGCTCTAACCACTGAGCCTAACCGGCCAGGGCTATTTACTTTTTTTATTTGAAGTTACTCATATTACCTTTACTGTTCACAACAACAACTAGAGCTAGTTAGCGACCACCATTTCACAGATAAGGTGATGGAGAAGAGATTGTTAAAAATCTGGACAGTAGCGGCTGGTGTGGCTCAGTGGTTGAGCGTTGACCCATGCACCAAGAAGTCGCCAGTTTGATTCCCAGTCAGGGCACATGCCCAGGTTGTGGGCTCGGTCCCCAGTGGGGGGCATGCAGGAGGTGGCCAATCGATGTTCTCATCGATGTTTCTATCTCTCCCTATCCCTTCCTCTCTCTCTAAAATCAATAAAGGAAAAAAAATGAATAAAAAAAAAATCTGGACAGTAATAGTTAAGATCTTCACATTTCCTGGTCCCCTCTTTAGTTTCTTAGGAAATAGTACTATAAAAATACTTAAATGGGAACTGGAGGGGGAAAAGGATGAATGTTCTAAAGGTGGGAAGCAGAAATTGCCTTTCAGTAGTGAAAGTACATCAGTGATTGTAGTCTGAAAGAAATGGGCAGTTTTTCATTCTATCCTTTCCCAAAGACACAGACACACTTGGTCTATTATACCCACTCCAAATTTTTTCAAAGAGAAAAACACAGCTACCTGCTCTTTCACTATGTAGGATATATAACCAATTCAACTGTCATTTCTGTTATAGTGCTGCCAAAAATAGTAAGCATTGAATGGGCACTAAATCAACAATCCAATTTCTCAGACCTCATATTCCTTTTGAATGGTTTTGGTCTTCATACAGTGGCTTAATAAAAGTTTTGAACAATGCTTTCTAATAATTAAAACAAAAAATGGACCAGGTTACTCTGGAAGTATTGAATTTCTTATATCACAAAAAAATTTTATATCATCTCCCAGGTAGCTGACAGTTCACAGTATTTTAAATGAAAACCACTAGAGGGCTCTGCATAGGCATGCTAGTGTGAAAATGAGGCTGGTATTTAGGATCAACTCAGCAAATTAGAATTTTCGAATTTTTCTAAATTTCCCCAATTTTTCTGGGGCTGCTAAAATGTACCATCTACCTTCAGTTTAAAAAATCATGCTAACTATAACTGCCCTCCTTACTGCTCTACAATCTATTATTTCAGACCTAATCACCCATTTGCCTTCCTTGGGGAGGGCCCTCACTTTACATCAAGATTAAAATATTTTCCCTGCAACATGGCTTGATTACTGATCACCTACCCTCATCAGTCCTTTTCCCCTCCTTTATAAACATGACTAATCAAACACACTTGTCCCTTAATGTTTCTACTCAATCATGCTATCGGGCTTTTACCTGCTAGACTTCACTAGTGATTACTAGCACATTTAAAACATGAAGATGAGCCCTAGCTGATTTGGCTCAGCGGTTGGAGCGTTGGCCTGTGGACCAGAGAGTCCCGGGTTTGGTTCCCGCTAGGGGCACATACCAAAACAAAAAACAAAAAACATGCAGGTGAAATTAATATGAAGGTAATCAGTTACCAGATCTTCCAACTTCCACATGTACTTATGATAAGGTACTTTCAGTTAAGAAGTTTAATTAACAGTCATTTAGTAAACCTTATTTAAGATTGGTATACTTCTCAAACTGAGAAAGTACCTTTAATGACTGGATAACAAAACCTGCTAGTTAGATGGTTTCAAATTTTCTATTTTCAACAGAACTAAAGGAGGATGGAAACGACCTGTCAGCTGATCTTTAATTTTGTTGTTGATCACTATGATTTCTGGACTGGAAAGGGGTTTTTAAAAAAGTTAAGAAACTGCTATAACAAAACCCCTTTCATGTGCACCTTCATGTGAAACAGGTAGCTCAGCTTACATCTATGGAAGAACTGGAATAAAACTAGGGCTGAATCTGTCTCATTATAATAATAAGTAGTATTTACCCATAGATAGATGGAACATATTCCTATTGTTTCCCAACTGAGTAGAAATGAAGGGAATTCTCAATCTGGAAAGAAGTTGAACTATTTTAGCCTTACAGTTTTAAGACAATTTTTAAGATTTCATTTTCAAGTTATATATATTTTTTTGGACCGAGAAATGATAGAGTACTTAATAAAAGTCTCTGACCATAAATATGCTAAAATAAAATTCTATGGGGGAAGCAGAATAAATATATAATTATGAATTTAAGGAGAAAAAGCAAAAGAAAAATTCCCATCTTTTAGTTTATACATGTCTTTTAAAATAAGTAATGTAACTTTTTGTTGTTAATTCTCCTGAGGATATTTTTCCATTGAGTTTTTAGAGAAAGTGGAAGGGAAGGAGGGAGAGAGGGAGAGAGAGACACACCATCAGTTGGTTGCCTCCCGCAGCACAACCCCGACCAGGATCAACTTGCAACCCAGGCACTGCCCTTGACTGGAATCAAACCTGAGACCCTTCGGTCCCCAGGCGGACCCTCTAACCATTGAGTCAAACTGGCCAAGGCTAATGGAACATTTTTATTCTTCACCCAAGGATACTTTTCTATTTTTCATTAGAGTAGGAGGGAGGGAGAGAGAGAGACAGAGAGAAACATCGATGTGATAGAGCCACATGGACTGGTTGCCTCCCACATGACCAGACCAGGGCTGGGGACAAACTGCAACTGAGGTATGTGCCCTTGTCCAGAATCGAACCCGCGACTCACTGGTCCGCAGGCCAGTGCTCCAACTGCTGAGCCAAACCGGCCAGGGCTGGAATATTTTTAAATACCAACATTCATGAATCTCTGTTTTACATCCTTAGCTACTATTTAAATTTAGGATTAAAATTTCATGTTTTAATCGGAAAAAAAAAAAGAAAGGCAACGGGGTATGCAGTTTTGTGTACAGTCCTTCTGAGAAGCATCTAGGCATACCATTCCTTCCAGGTTGTGACAGCGATCCAAACATGTATATTTTAGGTAAAGAAATGATGCCTAAACAAGCAACCCTATTCTAAAAAGTACTTTGTTCTACCATCTTAGAATACTGTAATATTCTAATACATTGTATAAAATAGTCTTTGCACTGACTTGAAAGGCTAACTATGTTCCGTAAAAAAGCAGGAATAGCTATCTA